AAACTTTTTGCAGATATATTGAATCCTATTTATCATTAAGGCATCCAAGACCTTGCCTATTACTGGCAGGAGGGAGATTGGATGATAATCAGAAGATTTGGTGGGTTGTTTGTTTTTTGGTATAAGCTTTATGGTTGCCTTTTTCCAGGTATTTGGAAAAATCCCTAGTTAAAGACACTTATTAAGGAGTACGTGAAACATGACAGGAAATGCAGAGTAAGCCATCTTAGCCATCTTAGAAATGATCCTGTCAGAACCAGTGCCTTCTCAATTAATTTGCAGAATTCCCTTTCGATTTCATGAACAGAGAAGGGAGTGTCATTTTGGGTACTCAGGTTGCATACAGATTTTACATGAATAACTTTACAATGTTGATGTTTATTGTTGATTTTTGTCAAATGACAAAAAAACAATGACAGAGCTCTCTTGCATGTGCACAGTTTAAATAAACCATTCCTGATACTTTTTGATCACAGAAGTATATCGAACTATTTGAGAAATTAACAAAACTGAATGTCAATTTGAGGCCAACAAGTATTATGACTGATTTTGAATTGGCACTTATAAACAGTTTACAAAAAGCTTTCCCAGGTTGTGAAATTAAATTATGTTTCTTTCATCTAAGTCAGAACATCTATTGGAAGATTGAAGAGAATGGTCTACAATAATACTATCAAGAATACTCTGACTTTGTACTACAATTAAGAATGGTCCCAGCTTTTACATTTGTTCCAACATACAAAATTGTCAGTGTTTTTGAGGAATTGTCTAAATTTTTACCTCCAGAACTTACACACCAGTCATGGATTATTTCAAAGATTCCTGCCAAATATAAACTGCAACTGTGGGTATTCAAAATTCACACAAAAACCTTTGTTAGCAGAAAAACTGTTTAATTATAAATGTTTTCAGCCTTTTTTTAAAGACAATCTTCAGGTAAAATACAGAATCAAATAAAATGAAAGATTAGAATATAATATAAATGCTTTGAAACTGCAAAGGCAAATGAATTTAATTTCAATTTAAAAAATTAAACAAAAGAATAAAAATATGACAAATACAAATATAAATGAACAAATAACTAACTTAAATAAAAGTCCTTTCAATTGCTTAGAACAGGGCTTCTTAAACTTTTTTTATTCACAACCCCATTTATGATTGCGATTTTTTTCGTGACCCAAAAAAATATAAAATAAAGATATACAGTATACAAATTTGGAAAAACAATAATGGTATACTACCACAGTTCACTCTTGTGTTACAATGGAGCAGAGACAACTGAATACACCGAAAAGCGACAATACTACACTAGTTCACAGTACAATCAGTGTTGCTGAATCGTTGTCTCGCTGCACCAGAAGTGACACAAAGTGCAACTCACGAAGCCTATGACACAAAGCGTGCCATTTTCAAACTCTCACAAATTATTTTCAATANGTGAAGATTCTAATGATCAAGAAGTGGTTACTGGTAGCAAAGCTAAGGAATCAATTAGCACTAGTAAATCATCAAAAACTGAGAGCTCTATTAGTGAAGATTTGACTATTTTTAACATTGAGCAACAAACAAGCACTATTGAAACAAAAGTAACAGAAACAATAAGTTCTCGTAAAAATGTTGCATTAAAAAAGAATGTAAAAACTCACTTATATTAAGACAGTTACCTAAAAATGGGATTTATCTAGTGTGGTGATAAATTAATTCCAGACCAAAATGTATTGTATGTGCTTTGGTTTTATCAAATGAAGCTATGGTTCCCAGTAAACTATTGCAGCACTTCTCCACAAAATATGATCATTTGTCTAAGAAACCTCTTGAATATTTCAAAGATCTGATAAAATTACAAGAAAAACAAAGTAAAAGTTTTGTAAAAAAAATATACAATTGCTGACCATGTTCAAGAAGCCAGTTATTTAGTCACAGAAATAATCGCAAGAGAAATGAAGCTTCATACTATTGGTGAAACTTTGATTCGCCCGGCCTGTACAGCAATTGTGAGAACAATTTTTGGTGCTGAAGCAGAAGAAGAAATAAAAAAAAGATTCCTTTGTCAAATGACACTATGAGTAGATGTATTAGTGATCGATCAGTTGATATTGAAAAATCAGAAAAATAATTGAATCAAAATTATTTAGTTTGCAGTTGGATGAGTCAACTGATATCGGTGGTAAAGCACAATTACTTGCCTTCACTCAATTTATTGAAGTTGATGAAATTTTGGAAGAATTTTTATGCTGCAAGGAATTCAAAAAAACTACGACGGGAAAAGATGCTTTTGATATCATGAACACATATTTTAATACAAATGGTCTATCTTGGAAATCTTGCGTGGGTGTATGCACAAATGGTGCCCCTTCAATGATTGGAACTATAAAAGGATTTATTTCATATGCTACAAAGGAAAACAAAAACATTGTCACAACTAACTGCTTCATTCATTGTGAATTATTGGTAGCAAAGACAATAGGCCCTGAACTCAAAAGAGAGTTAGAAGAAATCATTAAAATGGTTAATTATATCAAAGCTAGACCATTAAAATCACGTATATTTGCAAAACTATGTGAAGAGATGCAATCTCATCATAATAACCTGCTTCTTCATTCCAAAATGAGATGGCTTTCGAAAGGTCGTGTATTAAATCGTGTTTTTGAACTTAAAGAAGAAATATTAATATTTTTTCACCACGAAAACAAACAAGAATTTTGTGTATTATTACAAAATAATTCTTGGTGTTCCAAACTAGCTTATTTAACAGACATATTTGATCACCTGAACAAGTTAAACTCAAGCATGTAAGGTAGAAATGAAAATATTTTAACATCTGTAGATAAAATTAAAGCTTTTAAAGATAAAATAAAAATGTGAAAGATAAAAGTAAATGCAAATAATGTAGAAATGTTTATTCAAGCTTCCAAAGGAAAAATTTAACAATACAGATTTGCAAAAACTTATTTACAGTCAAAATATATATAAATGGTTTGCTGTATATTAGTTAATATGACGATTTTAGTCTCTGTAATCCAAAATTATTCTTGGTAGACAAATCTCACAGCAATTTTATTGGCAAATTAAATTTATTTTGTAAAGACTACATCAAATGCATTTCGGGCTGGTCTAATATTTTCCAGTCCCTCTTCAGTGCTAAAACAATAACAAATAACGTAAAATGTTTAACTAAAACACGACATAGATGTATATCTACACCAAAATTATAAATTTTGGAGAAAAACTTACAATAACCGCTGGTGGTAATTACAATAAGACTGGTGAACAAATTAATAGCAATATTTATACAGAATTAAATAATGATCCCTATGAGGATATGAAAAAACAAATAACAAAATTAATTAAAAAAAGTTATACTAATAATAATATAAGTAATACAGATAAAAATTTTATTCTGGATCCTAAAAATAATAGAACCCCAAAACTTAATATTAGATTAAAAACACATAAAATAGAAGAAAAGTTTAGACCTATTGTAGATTTTAAATTTTCCATCTTGTATAATCTAGAGGAATACATAAAACAACAATTAAAAGATATAGATAATTCTATGTATAGTATAAAAAATGCTGATACTGTTATTAATAAATTATTGAAATTAAATAAGGAGAATTCAGATTGCTTAATGAGCTTAGATATAAAAAATATGTATCCTAGCATAACCTGGTGTATGATAGAAAACAGTTTAAAAGACCTTGGTATCCAAAAAAATTTGATAAATTTAATAGAATTTGCTTACAAAAATAATTATTTTGAAATTGATGGTATGTTTTATAGACAAAAAAATGGTATCAGTATGGGGTCAAAGATGGGGCCAAAATTAGCTGAATTAGTAATGATTGACATCGATAAAAAAATTATTAAAATTAGGGGTATAAAGACAATAATGAGGTATGTAGATGACTATTTAATAGTGTATAATAGAAATCTGATTAATAAAGAAACTATATATAATTTAATAAACAACATAGACAAGGTTATACAGTTTGATATTGAAGAAGAAGTTAATAAGAAAATTAATTATTTAGATATTACCATAGTGAATAATCCTAGAAAATTTGATTTTATAACTTATAAAAAATCTTGTAATGTAAGCAAAACTATTAATTACCATTCTTGTATTCCTGATTACATTAAAAAGAATGCATATATTGTCGAATTAAAAAACATATGTACTAGAATATCTGATAATTATAACATAAATATTAAACTAAAAGAATTAGATACCAAATTCCTTTTGAACGATTACCCAAACTTTATACTTAAAAAATGGAAAACATATTATTTAAAGAATAGATATAATACTAAGTTGAAAACTGATAAAATATATAAGAAGTTTCTATACATTAAAAATATCTTTGAAAAGTGCAGGAAAAGTATTAAGAATCATAATATTTGTTTGGCCCCATCTTTGACCAATAGTATTTCACAAAACATTTGTAAACATATTAATAATAATAGTAAAAATAATTTAGACCCTTTAAAAAAAGCTGGTGTGGTTTATAGAATTGAATGTGACTGTCATAATCCGTGTGTATATATAGGAGAAACCGGGCGTGTACTAGAAACTAGAGTTAAAGAACACGAAGCAGCCATTCGGCTTAAGTATAATAATTCTCCGTGGTTTAACCACATCAATAGTAATAATTGTAATATTAATAGAAACAATGTAAAAATTTTACATATTGAAAAAGATATATATAAAAGAAAATTCAAAGAACATATAGAAATTAGAAAACAAAATAATAATAATTTAATAAATCAGTCGAAAGGGATGGAAATAAATTATAGCTGGTATAATCTGATAGATGGCGCTAGAATAAAATAAATGGTTATGTATTAAGACGTCATCACTTGATTACTGTTGTGAAGTGTTGATTGTATACTGATGCTAATGAGGTTAAAAATTTGTAGTGCTTTGGAATTATCTATACAATTGTTTGTCAAAGAATTTTTTAATAATTGGTTGGTTTTAGTATGTTTATTATACACGTGTGTGGAAAGGTTTCTTAAACTTGTAAGTATAAGTATTGTTTAAGATATTACTTGTATTAGCCTTATATTGTTTTGTACAAAAAAAGATAATTGTAATTTTAGGATTCCTACAAATGTGTGCAAAGTTTACCACCCCTACCCATGGAAATATCATTGTAATTACCACCAGCGGTTATTGTAAGTTTTTCTCCAAAATTTATAATTTTGGTGTAGATATACATCTATGTCGTGTTTTAGTTAAACATTTTACGTTCTTTGTTATTGTTTTAGCACTGAAGAGGGACTGGAAAATATTAGACCAGCCCGAAATGCATTTGATGTAGTCTTTACAAAATAAATTTAATTTGCCAATAAAATTGCTGTGAGATTTGTCTACCAAGAATAATTTTGGATTACAGAGACTAAAATCGTCATATTATTTACAGTCATTTAATGTCGTTAGAAGAAAAAATTAACCATTATTTCCCTGACATATCAGTTGATTTGTACAACTGGATTTGAAATCCTTTTTTAGAGACAACATCAGAAATAAGTAAGTTCAGTCTTGCAGAAGCCGAAGAATTAATTGTTATATGTAACAATCGTATGTTAAGATTGAAACATTCAGAAATGAGTCTGAATTCATTTTGGAAAACAATTATGAAGGAATATCCCAATATAGGATTCAAAGCACTTAATATTTTATTGCACTTTTCCACGTCGTATCTCTGTGAAGTGGGATTCTCTACACTTGTAAATATTAAAACAAAGAAGAGAGAAAGACTAAAGACCCTTGAAAATGAGATGAGGGTATGTCTTTCAAAAACACAACCTAATATCAAGGAAATATGCAAACACCATCAGGTACATACTTCACATTAAGTTCACATTTTATCACCAGATACCTTTATAATAACAACTTTTATTTTGAATATTTTTGTGTTGTTTGGAAATATACTTACTTACTTTAAAAAACTTTTATTTTTTTCAAAGACTTTTCATCCTTCATATCTTTACTAACTGTAAAAAAGAAAAAAATAATAATAATAGGGGTGCCGTGAATTTTGTTTAATTTAATAATTTCAGTGTGCCACCAGACAAAAAAGTTTGAGAAACACTGGAGTAACCCAACGATATTATAAAGCCATAATACCAGTGGAGATACAGTAAAATTCAGGAGTTATATGTTGGATATGACAATGATACAGGATGCAGTACATAGAATACCCATATAACAGTAGTAACAATATACAAAAAAATATAAGTAGATAAAAACAATAAAATTGTGTGCAGAATAATGAAAAGAGAACAACAAAAAACAAATGTCCTGGGATGTTAATAAGAGTCCAGAATTTGAAGATTCAATTGTTGCAATGAGAACACAAGCAGGAACCAAAAGACCAGGGAGAGGAGGGAGACCAAGCCAGAACAGGCAGAGTTAATTCAATTTGTTTATACCATGAGCAAATTCCACAAGGGCCCTGTAGATACTTTTATTATCCACGAGGGTCTTCTGAGGGTGCCAGTGGTAGTTTTCATTCTGACTGGTCCTGATGATAGTCTTTCTTTGAGTCACATAAAGCGGGCAGTAATAAATTATGTGTATAGGATCCTCTTCTTCGTTGAGCTGGCAAGTACACAGACTGTTAGTCTTGTAGAGAAACCTACGTAGGTAAGTATTGAGATTGCCATGCCCAGTTAGAAGCTGAGTCAACTGGAAAAATGGAATGATATGCTTGTTTGTACTTCTAAGTTTGACATTGGGGATGAAGCTGTGTGTCAGACTGCCGGTGTTGCTGCTATCCCATCTGTTTTGTCAGGCATTCCAAGAATCTAATCGGATCTGATTCTTGAGCTAGAAAGGTGGAATTTTGCTAAATGAGCAGTGATGTATTCTATAAGGAGCTGTGCAGGCAAGAAGGTCTGCCCTCTCATTGCCCTGAATGTTTGAGTGCCCCTTCACCCAGATAAAGTTAATGCTGATATTATTATATATAGAAAGAAGAATGTTAACACTATCATAGATAATTGACAATTTGATGTTCATATTTTTGAGCTAAGTTCCTGATGTCTGACAAGATGGAGACACTTTTCAGTTTGCTGGAATGAGCATTGTTTTTAATCCATTTGATTGCATTGAAAATTGCCAGAGATTCTGCTGGATTAGCGAAACAGTGATCGGCCAGTCTGAATTGAGCCTGGTAAATGTTCTTGTTGTTCTTCATTACAATTAAAGAACCAACCAACCCCTTTGTCAGATTTAGAACCATCCGTAAAGATACAGTGATACAAAGAGATGGTTGAGCCATCTAGGCAGAACAGGTGGTCTATAGAAGTACTTGGATGAAGGAAATGGTGCTGCAAATGCTGATCTAGGCTGTGTTATGCAATGAGAGTAGCGATGTTTGTAGCAAGAGTGCTGACCCTAATGTCATTAATGTTAGTGTTATAAGAATCAATTAATAAGAAATGGTGAGTTGTTGTTGGCTAGTTTGTGTAGATTGTATTTCCATACTTTCTCCTTTACTATGAGATCAATGGGAAGAAGGTCCACAATGACAAGGATGGCATCAGTGGGGGCAGTCCTGTACACCTTGACTACTGAGATTGTCGATAGCCTCTGTGCTGACAGCAGTTTCCTCTTGATGTGTCTCTTATCTATTGTGGTACCCCAGATCTCTGACCTGTAGGTAATAATAGGTTCAATGCCATCAATGTAGATTATCCTACTTGCCTCACTGCCTTATCTCCACCGATTCCTTGCAATAGAGGCTAGCAAGTGCATAGCACTTACAACCTTGTTATAAATATAATAGACATGTTGTTTCCAGTTTAGTTTATTACCTAGGATATCACCTAAGTATTTTAACAAATTGGTATTCTTTATTCTGATGTCATCGATTTTAATAGTTGGTCCTTTCTTTAGTGGAATGGTCTTAGGAAATACAATACACCTGCACTTGTCTTAGTTAATAATAAGTTTGTTACTTTAACTCCAACGTAATATACTCCTTAAGATTTCGTTCATCCTGGCTTGTAAGATCTCCCGGTTCTGGTGAGAGATGATGACAATAGTGTCTTGGCAAAACCTTGGAAATGGGCATTGTAAGCCTGGGGGATGGTTTGTTGAATATTGAGGAGACCATTGTACATAATGTTCCATAGAAAGGGGCCTGACCTGGAGCCTTGGGGCAGCCTCTGTTGACATATTTTTGTAAGAAGTTGTTGTTATTGGTAGAGACTATGATTTGCCTGTTGGATAGATAATTTTTCATGAGGTTGTAGATGTTTTTTGGACAGTCAAATTCTTTGAGAGCAACCAGAATCACAGGCCACCAAGCATGGTCAAAAGCATCCCTGTAATCGATGGAGACCATCATGCTGTGTTCCCATTTATTCTTGGCATTCCAGATATAACTGGTAATATAGTCAAGAGCCATAACCATATACTTGCCCCTCCTGTAGCCATTTTGGTTATTATTTAATTTGTTAAACTTTTTGCAGATATATTGAATCCTATTTATCATTAAGGCATCCAAGACCTTGCCTATTACTGGCAGGAGGGAGATTGGATGATAATCAGAAGATTTGGTGGGTTGTTTGTTTTTTGGTATAAGCTTTATGGTTGCCTTTTTCCAGGTATTTGGAAAAATCCCTAGTTAAAGACACTTATTAAGGAGTACGTGAAACATGACAGGAAATGCAGAGTAAGCCATCTTAGCCATCTTAGAAATGATCCTGTCAGAACCAGTGCCTTCTCAATTAATTTGCAGAATTCCCTTTCGATTTCATGAACAGAGAAGGGAGTGTCATTTTGGGTACTCAGGTTGCATACAGATTTTACATGAATAACTTTACAATGTTGATGTTTATTGTTGATTTTTGTCAAATGACAAAAAAACAATGACAGAGCTCTCTTGCATGTGCACAGTTTAAATAAACCATTCCTGATACTTTTTGATCACAGAAGTATATCGAACTATTTGAGAAATTAACAAAACTGAATGTCAATTTGAGGCCAACAAGTATTATGACTGATTTTGAATTGGCACTTATAAACAGTTTACAAAAAGCTTTCCCAGGTTGTGAAATTAAATTATGTTTCTTTCATCTAAGTCAGAACATCTATTGGAAGATTGAAGAGAATGGTCTACAATAATACTATCAAGAATACTCTGACTTTGTACTACAATTAAGAATGGTCCCAGCTTTTACATTTGTTCCAACATACAAAATTGTCAGTGTTTTTGAGGAATTGTCTAAATTTTTACCTCCAGAACTTACACACCAGTCATGGATTATTTCAAAGATTCCTGCCAAATATAAACTGCAACTGTGGGTATTCAAAATTCACACAAAAACCTTTGTTAGCAGAAAAACTGTTTAATTATAAATGTTTTCAGCCTTTTTTTAAAGACAATCTTCAGGTAAAATACAGAATCAAATAAAATGAAAGATTAGAATATAATATAAATGCTTTGAAACTGCAAAGGCAAATGAATTTAATTTCAATTTAAAAAATTAAACAAAAGAATAAAAATATGACAAATACAAATATAAATGAACAAATAACTAACTTAAATAAAAGTCCTTTCAATTGCTTAGAACAGGGCTTCTTAAACTTTTTTTATTCACAACCCCATTTATGATTGCGATTTTTTTCGTGACCCAAAAAAATATAAAATAAAGATATACAGTATACAAATTTGGAAAAACAATAATGGTATACTACCACAGTTCACTCTTGTGTTACAATGGAGCAGAGACAACTGAATACACCGAAAAGCGACAATACTACACTAGTTCACAGTACAATCAGTGTTGCTGAATCGTTGTCTCGCTGCACCAGAAGTGACACAAAGTGCAACTCACGAAGCCTATGACACAAAGCGTGCCATTTTCAAACTCTCACAAATTATTTTCAATATTTTGCATTAAAATCTCGCAACTCCAAGATTTCGCTAAGCGACCCCATTTCGGGTCGCGACCCATAGTTTAAAAAGCCCTGGCTTAGAAGGTTTGCTATGAGTTACATATTGGATGACCTCCACATCTTTCCTCTCTCCATTCAGAGTATTTTCCACTTTTTATTTGTGTTGTTTATTTAGTTTATCTTATATTCTCACTTTTTATATTTTTATATTTCTTATGTATTTTTATTCTTTATATTTCTCAATGTGTATGATATAGTATTCAATTTTATTAATTAACAATATTGTATCCAGGGGCGTGCCGTGACATTTGATGATAGGGAAGCTGTGTTTCTATAAGAAGCCGACTTCCAGGGGCTTTCAGTTAATTCTTTCTTTAAATGTATTTTTAATAGATTATTTATCTGACGTACTTAATAAATAAACAAGTTCAATATAATTACCTCTGTTATTAGTTTCAATAAGTTTCCTTTGCCCTCTAAATGCAAATTCTTGCTTTGATAAAAACATATATTATATCTCAATAAATAGATGTTATATCTATAAACCGTAACTATCTCATTATAATTTTCAATATTTATTTTATATTATTTACTAATGTTAAATTCTATTCCGCTTTGATTTCCAAATTGCTTCAAATACGAAAGAATCAATGATTTTTCGTGTCTTTTGCCAGCTAAATTGTCAAAGCCATTCTTATTCCACACACTAATTTCATTTGAAAATAGTAGGCAAGCCAACAAAACAATTTTTCCATTTTTACGCATTTACAGAGCCATTTTATTGTGAAAATGTCGAACAAATTTTTTATCAAAGTGTTTATATTTAACTTAGGCATTGGTCTTTCTCTTTTAATAATGTTTTCTTTTTATTATACGGTCTCGAGCCAAAACTTTTTAAAAATAAATTTTCAATATCGCAATTACATTCTGAATCGCTAGCCACGATATAAGGACTAAAATTAAAAATAAAATTATAAAAACTTACTCGGTTAAATAAAATGTGTGGTGGATATACATACCTGGTACAAAACATTCTTCAATTGTATGAATGTACTTTTAAAGAAAATTATAATTAAATATAGCTTTCTAACGAAACGTACATAAAAGTAACATAAAATATTCTTTACTCTTTAAATCTTAACCACTTAGTCAAATAGCTCCCTACGAGTGGAATCAGAGACAGTCCCGCTAGGTGTGTGGTATGTACATGTACGTGGGCTGCCAAATCCCGAGGGTGCCGATACCGGTAAATGTCAAATGTCAAAAGGCGCAGCAGGGTTCTTATAAATTTTAAACGTTTCTCACCATAGCTGTAAAAGTCTAAATATGTTAAACTTAATAGATTGTCCGTCATTTGTTTTCTAATTCGTTTTAGGACCAGGTTGTTGTCCATGGAAATTTCCGAAATTTACAACTTTTCAGTCACTCCCATCGAACTGGAAAAATGTCTGTCTTTATTACATCTAATATTTCAAAGAAATCACTCCCACTGTATTCGGCTAGAGATTGGTTCGGTTAGGCTTTTGTTTAAGTAAAATTTCGGCTCTCATCATGGTTCTGTGTCCCCAATTCCCTAATCGCTTAATTATTTAACCACCAGTTACTTTGTACTCGAATATTTGTAGTCTCGGGAAATAGTGGAAAGACAAATTTTTATGACAAACGGATACATAAATCATAAATGTAAGGAAAATAAATTCTAGAGCTTTTTCTGTACCTCATGCGTCTCTCCCATTCATTAAATTTAGTTGTAAACGACGCTGTCGAAGTAACGGTTAATTTTTTAACATTATACAAGAATTATACACGTTTTTTTCTGCATCCCCTTAAAGATGGGATATACAAAATCGTAATATCACCGGTTTAACATCGAAATCCGTGAGTAATATAAAATCAGAGAGCGGAATAAATATATCAAATATTTTAATGGATCTTTTTTTAACTCCTGTCAACTATACAGAACTATCGTAAAAACATACAGGTAAATTCTTATCGGTTGGGTTAAGTTATAAATCTACTCGTTATTCACATAATCGGCCAAATATCTAGCGGGCGGGCAGCTAACAGCCCAGAACTGGTCCCGGATAGAATTGGAAGAGTTGGAATGTGTAGCATCAACTCAAGGTCGTAAGCTTCCACCAGTTAAACCGGGTGAGGTTGGTGCTCTGTAAAGCGCATGCGCAAATCTGGCTTTCTGGAATCTGACAATACAGAGATTCCACTCCGCCACTAATATTCGAATATACAATAGTAATCTTATCTTTTTTTTCACGTGTATTATATAAATTTGTAATAAGATATTTAATGCGGTTATAATAAAATATTGTGTGATTATTTTCATATAATTAAAATTAATATGTATTTATCTTTTATAAAATACAAGGGAAGCGGCACTTCCACTGCTTCTAATGACGGCACGCCACTGATTGTATCACATTTAAATAACAGATATTAAAAATCCAGCAATGCATTGCTTAACTTTCCAAAAAATATTTCATGATGCCATCTGTTATAATATTTTATTTAAAAAATTTTTATATTTTTAATTATTATAAAACAACAAAAAACTTAATTTTGAGGGATAGGTTTTATAAAAAATTGTAAATGTTAATAATGAGTAAAATTGTAATTAAGTCTGACCTTACTCAAGATACAAAAAACAAACCCTCTATCTCCCCACCCCATTGACCTTCAACCACCAATATTTAATAGCATTAATCCCCTAATACACAAACCTCCCTGCAAAATTTAAGAAATTTTCGACAAAAAGCACAAGAGTTAATTAAGCTTCAAAGAGGGTGAACAAAATCCTACCACCCCACATACACACTAACATCCATACATACAGAAAAAACACCTGAAGGTTTTTTGAATTTCTTGACATTTCAAGGTCCTGAGTCCAAAAATATAAAAATATTGGAGGATACTTTTTAGTACTTTTCCTCTGTTATATATAACAAAGCCAGAAAAGTAAAAATAAAGTTCACAGAGCCCTTTATTAACTACTGTATCTATTTTAGTAATATTTAATAAAAATGTTTTTGCTACGTACCAGTAAAGAACCATGCTCCAAATCCCATACATATATTTTGTTATCACCACAACCAGCATATAATAGCATTTGACCATTCTGGAAAAAAATATATTATTATTTTATAAACAGTTAATTATCTAAATAAGTAAATATTTTTTTTACTTAAATCTGATTAACCAATTACATTTAATACAGTAATACTATACGTATATCATTACATTTTCATTGCTAAAAAATATTGATGAGAATCTTACTTTAAAGACTTGTTACATGAAGGAGAAGAAATGCACAAAAATTAAAAGACAACAATTATTTTTAGATGTTTATTGTATCACAAATCTGTCTGGTATTTAAAAGGTTGATTTAACTAGTCCTTAAATAAAGTAACGTTCTTATGAACATTTTCTAAAATACTTAAGATAAGAACAAAAAGCGATTAATATACTTGCATTGCTGTTGATAGAATGTTAAAGAAAATGTAATTTGCATACAATTCCCAATAGGGGCACTACACAAACTTGTTCAGTGCATTACTCTTAAAAATACATCTCCTTATACTTCATTAAGCATTTGTTAGTACAGTAGAGCATCAATTATCTGAATACGATCAACCAAAACATCAATTAACCAAAAGCGATCCAGTCAGCAAATTCAAATTTTCGCTAATGCCGTGGCACTGTAATATTTGGCTACATCTTGGGCTACTCCAATATTATTTTTGTTGGTGTGCGTGTTTTAGCTGGCAGAACTGGTGAAACCATATTGTATCGTTAAAAATTATTTCTTTATTTTGCACAAACAAAATAAACATAATGAAAAATATAAAAACAAAAAAATTATATTTCAGAAATTAATCTAGTATCAAAAACATTCCGATTAAGCATGACACATGTCGAGAGGGTACTTAAGGATGCACCAGTATTTGAATGAGGTTTTTCCCCCATCGTGAGTGGTGTGTATTGCTTCAGCTCGTCGGAGAATATAGCCCAAGCGGCTGACATCTCCAGATAAATCCAAGAAAAAGAAAGAATTTTGCTTGTTTTGTGTGGTGTTTTTCCAAGGACTGTGTTGTTAGGACGTGTGCCATGCTGAATCAGAACATTTTTGATACTAGATTAACTTCTGAAATATAATTTTTTTTTATTTTTATATTTTTCAATATATTTATTTCATTTGTAAAATAAAGAAATAATTTTTAATGATACAATAGACATGATTATTATTTTTTAAAAATTTTCGCTAGGCTTAACATTGACAAAAATTCAACACAAAGCAACACGCAACGAGAAAAATTTCAACATGGGATAGGTTAATATACTTTTTTCTACATGATCAGTTATCTGAACAACCCCAGTCCTAAATCTATATATATATGCCATTGTCGCGTCAGTGATGGTATCCGTGCCTAAAACGCCCACTAGGGGCGCCCTAGTGATGATTTTAAATTAACAATAAATTATTTTTATTTGTAATAAATTTATATCAATAATAAATTCCTATTATTTATACCATGAAATGGTATAAATAATAAATTTATTGCCTTATTATATGCCTCGATTAACCTTGCTCCGCACGTTTACAACATGCCGTGACTCGGTGAACGATGCGCATTGACTCACAGGAAATTTGTTGAAAAAATGGCAGATACATTTAAAATCGAGGTTTACAAGCAAAGATAAATAAACAAATTAAACTATTCTAAAGTATTTATAGAATGCTTAATAGGTAGAAATCTAGATCTGTATGATGCGATTGGGACTTTAACAGAGCTGTAGAGCATATTGATAGGAACAAAAAAGTCAAAGGAACTGTGCCTCGTGGGAATTTGTAAAGAATGCCCATTAGGGGGAATCCTGGGCTACTAGTTGTTTCAGATAATCAATGCTCTACTGTAATTTAATTGAAGTTTATAATGTTTAATTTTATGCTAAATTTTAACATTCAAACTTAAGTTAATTTTAAACAACAACAATGTTTATATTCTTTTTATACAAATTGTAAGCTGAAGTAATCCTAGATCAGGACAAAACATTTCTTGTTGGCTTCTTGAGGGAAGCATTTCAGTATTGGTAACATTAATTTTTAAAAATTTGTAACTTGATATGGATAAATTATTTAAAGTATGTTGATTTTTGCTTGTTGTGATAAAGAACAACTGTAAGGATGATTGTTTAAAAGAGATCATGGGAATTTGGACAAAGTTTTTTCAAAATTATACTGGGGTATGCTTTTAAACAAAGAGTCAAATTAGCCAATTGTGTTTGGGAACCTTAAACTCAAAAAATAAACAGGGACAAGGAATGTTTCTTGGAGGTTTTAAGTTGACTAGAACTAAAACTAGACATGTATATTTAAAATGTAAATATAATTTTTATGTATATTTAAATCTCCATTTTTGCATGTGATTTGTTTTATTTACAAAGTGATCCTGAAGAAGACATTTTGTAATGTTAAAAACATTTGAAAAAATAAGTCTCTATCTTGAATGTGCATGTGCATATCTGTTTGTTTCACACCCAGAAAACTGATTTCTGTCTACCAATAGCATTAAATTTGGCCTATGTCATTTTAAAAATTCAAATCTTGAATCTAACTTTTTAACTGATGGATAAGAACAGATATAATAATTCATTATAATCTAAACTTATGTCACCATTAATAATATCTAAAATTTAATAGTCAGATGATAAGATATACAGAAATAAAAAATAAATGAAAAAAAACAAAAAAAAAAAAATATTTGAAGCAAACTGAAGGAAGATTAATGGATTATAGAAAGATGAATAACAAAAGTCTACTTATAAGTGAAGAACTTCACTGTTAACCAAGAATTTCATACAAATCTCATAAGTATATAAACAAATGCTTTTTTCTACAAATAGTCCATTTCCTTATTAAATATTTGATCTATAACAAAAATCTCTTTTAAAGATATTGTCATAATCTACATTATTAAAAGTAGGTAGAGGAAATTCTCTAATTCCAAATTCTTCTTATAAAAAACTTCTTCCTATATGAAACAATTCACAATCTCTGGCAAATGCAATATACAAACATATGGGATCTATTATGCCATATAACAAAATAACAAACAAATTTCAAACTTTTTTGGTAAAATTTCTTTTATTTCAAATTCCAGCCAGCAGATTATGTTAAAAATAACCATTTGAAGAGAAGATTAGGACAACTATAAGCATTACTACTGCAAAAATTATGGATGATGTCAAATCGACACCATCCATAATTTGCCAGATGCTGTGGTTTCTCAGCAACTGAGCTACTTTCAAAAAAATTTATGGCAGTTTTTACATCAATGTTGCAATTTTTTGCTTATTAAAAATATTTATTCCCAAACTTTTATCCCTAACTAAAGATTTCTGATATTTAAAGCTAATACCTGTTAATTAAAAGCCAAAGTTTTAAACTTAACTTTAGTTTTAGAAAGAAAAGCTATTATAAAAACAAAGTAAAAACCAAAACTCCAGCAGAAAATGAAAATTTTACTGAGAAAAAACAAACATTTTTGATTGCTTTAAGCTATCATGGTCACATTACATAAGTAGGATTTAAAAAAAGCATAGGGAAATCGAATGCCATTTTTTAAAGGAAGAAAAGCCATCCGATTTATCCAGTTTCTGAATCGTTTATATGTTGATTATAGCTTCACCAACCAAGGAATATAGGCAACTAGTGGTTCAAATTTGTCAAACTTCAGCCAAACTGGACTTCCTTATGTCATGCCATTCTGAGGTTATATATCCAGCTTCTATTTTTAGATACACCTTGAGAAGCTAGCAATTTATAAGGCCTGTAAGAAAAATGTGGCCATAAACTACATAACACCCTTTTTGAAACCTGGAGACTTTCTTTGAAGATCATTAATAATTTCCACCAAGTGGCACCAACTGGCATCCAGTCAGATGGCTTTTCTTAATTTAAAAAATAGCATTCAACTTCCCTATGTTATCTTTTCTAACTCTAGTTATGTAACCTTATGACAATAGCTATTAAAGCTATTGAAAACATTTATTTTTTTCTCATTACATATTTTTCAAATCAAATCATTTTCTGCTGGAGTTTTGATTCTATTTTATGTTTCTACAATATTATCTAATTTCTGAGTTGTTTGTATGTTGAAAAGGTAACTTTTGTGACAAAACAACAACTTTTTGGAACTTTCAATAAGCATTTGCATGAGCCTTGGCCAATTTCTGGCAACATTTTACAAATTTGACATAAGCAGTTTATAATGGAAATGCAATTTTAAGAAAGTGTCATTTTTTATTTTTTAGTATTTTTAGTTTTGGCTGCACCTTACGCAAGTTTATTTCTAAGAGTATACTATGTACAGCTTGTTTCCATTTGTTCAGAAGTACAGCAGAAAATATGCCAATAACACCAAAAAAGTTCTGACCATCACTAGACAGGAAAATGTGGCTGCTTCAAATCTACCTCAACTCAATTTATCTGCTGCAGTAAAAATCCACAAATATTTGACTAATCACATTACTTTGTATGATGGTCATTCATTAGTCCAGCTCAGTATTTTAGAAATCACCTTTAATCTCTAAATACATGTAGATACAACAAAACCAAGTTAATTAACAAAGCCAACCCTAAGGGCTCGCTGTCTCGGCCACTCAGTTATCTTCCCGCCATAACATCCTAGACTCTCGGTAACAGACAGCATTATAAGAAAAATGCAACTAACCTCATACTTTGGGTTGATGATTTTCATGCATTTATTACATTTTGTTAACAGCTGCATTAACAGTAAGTGATTTTCAAATGTTGGAATTCATTTTTGACTGTCACAATGATGGACTAAAGAACTTCTGAAAAAATTTGTCATACAAACTCAATTACTGTACCTATCTCATATCGTACATTGCTTTCTTCTGCAGTATTGCACACTGTAGCAGATCTGCCACATGCAATATTATTGTTTTCAATGATGAATAGCAGTATCCATTAGTTGTGACATTGCTATTTGAAACTAACCAAACAGCAAAGTCACAACTAATGGATACTGCTATTCATCATTGAAAACAACATTAATTCAAGAAAATTAAGCTAATATAATATGCAATATTATATTTCACATGATACGTTTCATATATTTTATGTTAACAAGAAGTTATGAATAAATGCATTTTATACTTGTAATGTCATAACTAACATTCATTCTTATTCTTCATACATAAAATTCTCCTTATAATCAAACACTCAAAATTTGTTTAGTTCAAGCTCATTAATTAGAGAATTTCCTGTAACCTTTTGAAAATTACAATTCAATAACCAAAAATAACAATGAAAAATTTAAATATTTGATATTTCATTATTACAAATTATAAATCTTTACCTTTGGATTAATAATCATGCTGTTAACTTCAGGCTTAGTCAAACTCTCCCTTTAAAAATATAAAAAATAATAAAATGTTTAATAGATTAAAATTTATTATAATCGTAAGTTCAGATGCACAATAAAACTTACCCTTGAGTTATAGTAAATTTCCATAATACTTTTGCTTCTTTTTTTTTAATATCATTCCAACTCCAGCCACATATATTTCCTATCCCACCACTAAATGTAAACATAAAACTTCTTTCTTTTCAATATTCAATTGTATATAAATTGATATAATTTAATAATTATAAATAAATAAAAATTCACAAATTCATAAAATAATAAAATCAAATGACATTTATACATTAAATCATTGATATTATTTCATAGTTTTATACAAAAATATTACAGAATAAATATCTGATTTATTTACCTAATTAAAAACTTATCTGTTGAAGCTAATGCGTAGATGGAGCTATTATGTGCTGTATTAAAAATAAATAAAATTTATAATTTTAAATGCATAATATAAAATATCAGATTATTAATTAATGTATACAAAAATAAACTGCTCTTAGACCATAAATATCTTTCCAAAATCAACATAAATTAGAACTTAAATGATGATAAAAAACAAAATTAAATATTTTCAGATTCAAAAATTAAACCATGGAGGGATCTAATGTTAGAAACATTGGTATCATCACAGAAGAATAATTAGTATTATGATCATTTTTCTTTAACCCTATTTTTTTTTTTTCCAAAAAAGATACTGTGGCCAGGTAGGCCTTTTACAAGCATTTTAGAATAAGACCAACAAACAAAACAGAGTTAGTAAAAACAATTAAACAGGATGCAACTGAGAAGAAAAAGAGAAAATTTACATTTCCTTTCAAATCCATTTAGATTGATTGATAACAATAATCACTGTAACTTAGAGTTTTTTTCCTTTTTTTTATGATATTTTTAAAGATTTCATAACTTGATACATTTCTAAGTTATTACACAGACCATTTCAATAGGAAATTATTTGAAAGATTGGTGCAGATTTCCCCACCTCCAGTTTAACAATTGGAAGATTATATCCATAGATCTTGCGAGTATCTCGTGTTGATTTTCAACATTCTCCTATATAATTTCCAAGAAAACTGTTTTCCTTGTTGCCTTTTATGTATTTATAACTCTCAAATAAAACCTGTTTCATGTAAATTTCACTTATCCTATCAATATTGTCGGTATGGTAAAATTCAGATACTGATTCCATAAAATTTATATTATGAATTGAATGCATGTAATAATTTTGTGCCATTTGAAGTTTATTGATGGCATATAAAGATGTGGTTCCCCAGACTATAATACCTTATCGTATTTTGGATTCTATGCATATATGGTACAATCGTTTCAAATGTGATGCACTTAAAAAGGTTTAAATTTTCTTATTTATCCCATTGTACTTTGCCAAGGATAGAGCAACATCATCTATTTGTCTGTTCCAGTGCAGATTATCATCAAAAGTTATTCCTAAAAACTTAATAGTGTTTACTTTTCTATGTTGTTATTAGTTATTTCAATTTTTAGGTGATCTAAATTGATTTTTTTGTTTCTATTGGCAAAACAGAAAAATTTAGTTTGTTTTTATTAATTACCTACCTATTATTTTCCATATAACTGTTTAATGTTTTTAAGATGTTGTTTAAATTCTTTTGAAGAGTTGAACATTCACATGGGAGTAAGTTATCACTATATCATCAGCATACATAAGTATATTATCTTTTGATATATAATTAAACAGATCATTGATGTATATATTGAAAAGCAGAGGACCTAGAATTGAACCTTGAGGAATACCTTTGTTTGGCTTAAAGAAACTAGAAATAGTCTGCCCAATTTTCACGTAGTAAGTTCTGTTTGACAAATATGACTTTAACCAACTTAGAGGAGTTCCTCTCAGACCAACAGTTTACAATTTTTGTTCCAAAAGTTCCAGATTCAAGGTGTCAAATGCCCTTAAAGGCTGTTATACACGTTAAGTACATCCTTTAAGGATTTCCGTAACAGACAAAAAAAAATCAGATATAACTGGCTGGATCGAACATAGTAATTTACAAAACTTATTAAAATATTTCCCGACGTATAAAGAATTATTTTTATTTAAAGATGGATAGATAGAAAAAAAAATCACGGTTAATCCTCAAAGGATTTCCGTAACATGTATAACAGCCTTAAGAGGTCCACGAATACTGATATTATTATATTTGATTTGTCAAGTTGGGACGTTATTGTTTTAAATGCAACAGAGCTCCCCGTTTATAAGATTATTGATTACTGTGAATAATCTGAAATTTGTCTATAAAGGTAGAAAATTTTCTCAAAAATTTTTGTCAAAACAGACACTATTATGATTGGACGGTATTTTTCGATTTCACTTTTTTATCCCTTATTCTTATATACAGTCGACACCCCTATAACACTGTTGATTTTTCCATTTTATATGAATTCCATGTTGTACGAGTCACTTAGATTTTACAAATATGTGTGCTGGGCTGTGAACAGCTCACGTATTTGTAAAATCTAAGTGACTCGTACAACATGGAATTCATATAAAATGGAATTATCAACAGTGTTATAGGGGAAGGTCAACTGTAATGGCAAAACTAAGTTTTGATTCAATTTTTCTGGAAAATTACCATTTTCAAAAGATTTATTTATCAGATGCAATAATGGTTGAGCTAGGACTTCAGATATATATTTTAAAATTTCAATATTTAATAAATTAATATCTGGAGAACTGTTTTTCAAGTCCATTATAGTATTATAGACCTCTAAAGCAGTTGTGTTTTCCAAAAAGAAAGTATTAGAAATACTGGCATTTTTTATGTGCTGCTTTGAGTTAACACTGCCGCAAACATCAGGTGCAAAACCATTCATAGATCTGTAATGCTCGGCAAAGATGTTACTAAGTGTGTACTCATCATTAATCATTTTCCCCTTATAAATCAATTGAGCTATTTTAACCTTGTTCTTTATCTTGATTACCTCAAAGGGTAACATTTTAATACTTTTCCAGAAATCAGAAGGGAAATTAACATTATAAAACAGTAAACTGTAGTACTTTTTCTCTTCATTCTGAATATTTTTCCTTATTTGTTTATTCAAGTTATTTATATCCTCCAAGTATTTGTTTCGTTCTTCAAGAGTCATCCAATTTTTGTTCTTAACTATCTTAAATAAAGTTTTCTTCTGTTTTATTAATGTATAGAATAAGCAGGAAAGCATTCCTAAAGAACTTTATATCTGATCACACGATCATATATAAAGTTCTTTAGGAATGCTTTCCTGCTTATTCTATACATTAATAAAACAGAAGAAAACTTTATTTNTTCCGTTTTATATGAATTCCATGTTGTACGAGTCACTTAGATTTTACAAATATGTGTGCTGGGCTGTGAACAGCTCACGTATTTGTAAAATCTAAGTGACTCGTACAACATGGAATTCATATAAAATGGAATTATCAACAGTGTTATAGGGGAAGGTCAACTGTAATGGCAAAACTAAGTTTTGATTCAATTTTTCTGGAAAATTACCATTTTCAAAAGATTTATTTATCAGATGCAATAATGGTTGAGCTAGGACTTCAGATATATATTTTAAAATTTCAATATTTAATAAATTAATATCTGGAGAACTGTTTTTCAAGTCCATTATAGTATTATAGACCTCTAAAGCAGTTGTGTTTTCCAAAAAGAAAGTATTAGAAATACTGGCATTTTTTATGTGCTGCTTTGAGTTAACACTGCCGCAAACATCAGGTGCAAAACCATTCATAGATCTGTAATGCTCGGCAAAGATGTTACTAAGTGTGTACTCATCATTAATCATTTTCCCCTTATAAATCAATTGAGCTATTTTAACCTTGTTCTTTATCTTGATTACCTCAAAGGGTAACATTTTAATACTTTTCCAGAAATCAGAAGGGAAATTAACATTATAAAACAGTAAACTGTAGTACTTTTTCTCTTCATTCTGAATATTTTTCCTTATTTGTTTATTCAAGTTATTTATATCCTCCAAGTATTTGTTTCGTTCTTCAAGAGTCATCCAATTTTTGTTCTTAACTATCTTAAATAAAGTTTTCTTCTGTTTTATTAATGTATAGAATAAGCAGGAAAGCATTCCTAAAGAACTTTATATCTGATCACACGATCATATATAAAGTTCTTTAGGAATGCTTTCCTGCTTATTCTATATATATATATATTTTTTTTTATGTATTCTTTGTTTGGAAGATATTTATCTATAAAAACAAATGACGACAGAGCTTTTTATAAACAGTAAATAGAGGAGTTATTGATTTTTCAGTAGGTTGCTTTACTCTTTTTTTTCCATATCAAGGTCTTTCTCAAGAGTAAAGATGATGATAGGCAGGTGGTCAGAAATCAAATTTTGATGTATTAAAAATTCACACGCACTATCATTTGTTAGACCAAAGTCTAACAAATCATTTGTTAGACTTATGTCTTAGACTTGTACATCATTTGTTAGACTTTGGTCTAACAAATGATAGTGCGTCTATCAAAGAATAAGTGTTTTTTCCATATCTAGTAGGTTGATTCAAATCAGCTAGAATAGTTAAATTTTCTCCAAAACAAAGGTTAATTAATTCAGAGGTATCTGAAGAGTTGTTTTTAAGTAGATCGATATTGAAATCTCCAATTATTTGTAATTTATATTTTCCATATTTAGTTGATTTATAAAATAATATATCATTTATAACATTAAGGAAAATTCCATAGTTTATAGATGGAGAACAATAGATTATTACCATCATCAGCTTACCAACAACTATCGTAACTACGTCTATATTCATCCTTGTGAAAGTTAAATCTGATACAACTTCATAATTTTTATCGTTATGTATATATATATATTACTATTCCTCCATGCTGATTTGGCTTTCTTTCTATTTTTTCTTGTTGGTAATCTTTTATATTTGGTGGAGGATTTTCATTATTTCTCCAAGTCTTGCAAAAAAACTAATACATCAAAATTACAATTATATTCCTCCATTATTTTAAGTATTCTAAATATTTCTTGTTTAAACCTCTTACATTACAATAAAACACGAATGTACCCTTACTAGAGAAATCATCTATCTTTGTATGTATCAATAATTCAGTCATTCTAAAAAATCTTCTCAAAACTTTCCAATGTAAGTATCTGAATTGTAGGGGAAGAAGTATCCTTTTCTAAATACACATTTCCATTATTTATCCATGTATATAATATTTTTCCTTGTTTTTTTTAGCATTCTGGTTTTGTAAAAGAGATTTCTGTAATATGGAGTAAGATGTTCATTTATATATATTTTGTATTCCTCATTTATAATGTGACATATATTTGTAATTATTTTTAACTTTTTTTTAATATTATTCATAATTTTTTGTTTTACAACTGAACTAGTACATTTCACTATAATTGGTTGTGATTTAGTATTGAATGCTTTTCTTTCATTATTGCTGGGTTTTACTCTATAGGCACTCAGTAAAGCTGAGTGATTAAAACCAACAACAACAAACGAAAGAATTTTATTTGCTATTTCTCTTAAATTTTCATTCTGAAGTGTTGGCACACCAACAATTTCCAAGCTTGAATTGCTTAAATTCTGTTCCAGCATACAAAATTGTTCTTTTAAAGATTTTAGTTCTGCCTTCATATGTTTATTCTCTTCATTTAATTCTGAAATTGTTTCACCTGCAGCTACATAATTTTTCTCTAAAGCATTAATTCTTTCTTCCATTTTATCAAATTTATTTGTTAAATACCAACCAATGCTGAAAATCTATCAGGCTAGTTTAAGGCTAATTACTAAATGAATTACGTAACCAATTTGGCTCTAGAGGTAAGCGTTAGGCGCCATTTCTTATTAACATTAATAATTATAAATAAATTAAGTAATTTAAATAATTTAGAACTGCTGGGAGAAAAAAAAAATTCATTTAGTAATTAGCCTTAAACTAGCCTGATAGATTTTCGGCATTGGTTGGTATTTAGCTATGTTATATATCGGGTTTAGAGATGTTTGTATATTTATTTGTTAAAAATTCTATCGACTTTTAAATTTCTACATTCGTTTCTTTTATGTTACCCAACTCCAAGTGTATCAGTTTTATTTCATGTAAAATCATTTGAAAATTTTTAGTATCTGTACATATGGGTGACATTGGAGTGAAAGTTAGATTATCTGGTGTTCTATCCACATTCTTATAATAATTGTGTGAAGTCATAATAATTTGCTCACACTCACCCAATCTGTTGTCTTCTAATTCCTGTGTCCAATTTGCATTATTCTTCATAGTTTTCACCAATTTACAGTCTTCGCATTTCCAAGATTTTTGTAAGACTTGCTAAACTTAAAAAAGTTAGCTGTCTGGATTCCAAAGCAATAGAAATGAGCAAATTTAGAATAATTAGAACAAATTAATAAGTCACTTTCCGAAACCTTGTGCTTGAAAAAAGAACAAGCACTTAAACCATAGCTCCGCACCATCTGGTGAGATTTTTTGTATTTTACTGAAATGCAAAACACCAATTTATGAATGTTATGACATTCAATTTTGTATTTTTGTATCATTTAAGCTCTATTAAAGCAATTTTAGAAATTTACAAATAATGTTTTAATTATTTTTCAAATCAAAATTAAAAACTTTAAAAATGAAAAATAAATCTCTCTTACAGCAGCATCACTTGAAAATGAAATATCTATTTTAAATAGTTTAATTTTGAATCTTAGATTTTTAGAACAAATAGCTTTTTTATTATTTGTAAAACCTTAACAAACCAATATTTAAGAAGAATAATTGAAAGAACATTGAGCTTTAGAACTAAATGAAGCAATATTACAGAAGTACTGTACCATCTGTCAACACTTTCAGTAAGAAAAATTTTCATATATTTGGAATATCAGGTATCAATAAGAAAAATTTTATATATCCTGGCAAGAAGTCTGGTGACATCTTGCCTGAATATATAAAACTTTTTGTGACAAAAATTAATGAAGCAAACCAGGTCACACAGGACTCTCTCTTTCAACAGAGACATCTCTCAAAAAAACAAGCAATATCATTCAATAACTGTCTGCTCCCACAACATTTTTGTCAAGAAACAAGGTATGGAGAAGTACTAATGATAATATTTTGAAAGAAAACGATAAAACTGTGCTTATTAACATGTTCAGGACTGAAATTTTTTTATGCTGTGAATCTGCGGATTGATCTTTTTTTACCTTTTTAAAATTGCAAGTGTTTGAAAAGAAATAACTTTAACATAGACTAATAATAAAAATCATAAAGATTTTTTCCCCATTTAATTTGATATATAATGGGTAAGGATTTTTTGATATAGGTTTGATTATAAACAACTTGAATTTAATGTAAGCAAATGCAAAAATCAATTTTTTGTAAATTTTTTTATTACTGCATCATTTGAAAAATCTCCACTAGATTCTTATTCATTAAAGGCTTATTTTCATTCTGTTGATTGTTTTCTACCATCTGACAAAGATTTATGAAGATGTTAGTTTTTGGTTTTGTTCATACACCATCCTGGTAAATATGAAACTTATCACTCCATGAAAAATGTATCAAACTGCAGTAATTGTGATGATTTTGTTCTTTTATCTTTATATTTCAAAAAACCTAACTACAGTAGAGCGTCGATTATCCGAATCAATTGGAGACTGGGGTTGTTCGGAATATCGATGTTTCGGATAACCAATTATGCACAAAAAAATATATTAATTTATCCCATCTTGGCATTTTTCTCCGTTGCGTGTCGCTTCGCTTTGAATTTTCGTCGATGTTAAGCCTAACGAAGACTATTGTATCGTTAAAAATTATTTTTTTATTTTGTACGAACAAAATAAATATATTGAAAAATATAAAAACAATAAAAAATTATATTTCAGAAGTTAATTTAGTATTAAAAACGTAAAATATTTGAGTAGCCCAAGANTATAACACTGTTGATTATTCCGTTTTATATGAATTCCATGTTGTACGAGTCACTTAGATTTTACAAATACGTGTGCCGGGCTGTGAACGGTTCACGTACTGTATTTGTAAAATCTAAGTGACTCGTACAACATGGAATTCATATAAAACGGAATAATCAACAGTGTTATAGGGGGGACGACTGTATAAAATTTTTCATTAAGTTCCATCCATTCGAGATATGCTACAGGACTTCCTTCTATCTCCCCACCCTCTCGACCTTTAACCGCCGAAAAATTTAATCGTATCAATGTTCCTTATACATAAAATATGTCAAATTTTGTTTCCCTCTTCATTACCTTATCCTGAGATAGTAAACGAAATAGACGCCAACACAAACACACATATATAACCATGAAATTTTCCTCTTTTTTTGACTTTTTAGGATTCAAGAGATCGTGGAAATTTGCAAACAACTGTGAGGGTCAAATTTAACACAATTCCAATAATTTCCCTTGTTATATATAGACTACATAACAGCCGGAAAGAAATATATTTAATTTTTTTGTCAGTTGCTTTGATTTATTTTTATAAAAAATTATAAATGCTAATAACGTACAAGTTCAAGTTGAAGTTCAAGTTCTTTATTGCCGTACAAAGGTACAAGCCCGGTACCGCATAAGCACAACTGGTTTGAAAACGCGTACAACAGTAAAGTTACAGAGGAATAGAGTATATAATGGCTTAATCTTTGAAACAGGCATATTAATAAATGCGCTCGTCCCCAAAGGTCGGTGCTCTGATGCATGTATTAGCTCTAGAATGAATAGAGTATATAAAGTAGCATAACATGATATTCGATACAAATCAATTATATACAAGGTATGAAATTAAAGACGGGACAGTAGATACTAAGCACTATATACATATCATGATATACAAAGCAGTTTAATTACATACTAGATGTCGTGTAACAAATAAGAATGACTTTATATACAAGACATTGAATTGGAACACAATATACAAGACAAGTACATGTCAAAGGTCAAATACATAATGGAATTGCATAGCAATATGAATAAGTTATAAGTGGTGGTATTTATGTTGCTAGGAGGTGCTAGTTGAGACGTTGAGAGCTGCAAGTTTACAGTATTTGTTGACCAGCTGATTGAAGTAAACGTAAGTTGAATGTTCGTTAATCAACTCGTTGCAACTGCAGGGCCAGTCCTTTCCCCGAGAGTTAATTATAATCTTTAAATGCTGCCGCTCAGCATCCAGCATTGGGCAGTTGAAAATATAATGGAGTGCTCCATCCTGAGTGCCACAGAAGGAACATGTATTGTTCGAGTGGTTGGTAAATCCGTTAAGGTGATAATAACATACAGTCGACCCCCATAACACTGTTGATAATTCCGTTTTATATGAATTCCATGTTGTACGAGTCACTTAGATNTTATTTAATAATAATAGTAATAACTGCAATGAAAATTTTGGCAGGAAAACTATTTGTTGCAAAAAATTTAATAAAAATCAAGAAACTGAACATACTTTATTTTAATTCTTGTCAATGGATGGAGCTAGGCATTATATTATCTGACAGAAGGTTGAAGCTCATTGGAAATACAAGAAAACATATCTAAAACAATAATAAAAAAAAAACAAGGGTAAGTTTACATATTTTGTCTTTCGACATGGCTCATGGTCAGACGTAAATCTGCTTTTTAGTCATGAAAGTGCTAAATGAGTAAAAGTGACAGTAAGTCTGAAACAAGAAATAGGGAAGAAAGTGCAGATAGAGAGAGATACAAAAAATTTGGAAATACTAAATGCTGCAATATAAGTGTGTACATTTATAAAAAGAAATAAATAATTAATAGTATTAAATACTGAGAATTTTTAGTTATTGTTTTCTAAATGTTTCAGAAAAAATTGTACATTTTTCTAAAACCAAACTTCATTTTTAGTCACCATATATGTGTAACAGCAGTCATTTTTTTTAGAAACAGAGCACTACTTATAAGCATTGCAGAAAATACATGGTAAATTTCAGTAATTGTAACTTAATAATACAAAACCATTAATTTACCTGTAAATTTATACATTGGATGACGAGATTCTTCTAATTGAATGGTATCATCACCAATGAAAAAGGAAGAAATACTAGAAAAAGATAAGAATTATAAATTTCATTTATAATTTTATTAAAACATTATCTCAATAACTTTTTAACAGACTGAAATTGCAAAACAAATATTTGCTTCCTTATAAAAATTTTAAAATTCTTTACATGTTCTACTTTTAAATTCATAATCTAGAATATTCCGAAATATTTTGATTATGAGATAGCTGATGGCTATATACATCATGTAAAGGATTTTTCATATTATTTAAAGACACTCTTTGTAATAATTACCTAATAATTAAAACCATCTCAAACACTACTTCCAGCATATATCCTCTTAAGCATACAAAATTTTCAGGTATAAGAATAAGTTAGTAAGTTTGATTGAATTCAAAAAACCAAATAAATTTCCTCAGATAAGAGACAGTTTTGTTTCTACACATTTGAAAATTTTTCAAAAAGACAACAACTAATAATGTTTGATTCATGTCCAACACATTTGAATATTCAATTCAAGTTCAAAACATGCAAAAACATTTCAAATAAAAAACATTCAAGGTTATCGTTAGATTTTGTCAAAAAGGTTATGAACAATTAAAATATTTCTTCACAACCAGTCCTTGTCTCTTACATAGCATATATAATGCTTCCTAATGCTTGGCAGGCTTGACTCATCTTTACTATTAATGCACTCTTCATTTTGCTCATTTGTAAATTTCCATAGTTTCATAAGTATTAGATTTTGATTTATCAAAGATTATTTTTAACAACCTAGCTTTTATCCCAGCAAAGTAACACATCAGGTTTCACTGGTAAATTCAACCAAAGCAGTAATATGGTTTTCACACTTGAGAGAAATGTACTTGGAAATGATTCTGTGAGTTCTGCACCATAGGAGATACCCTAAGTGGGCATGAAATTTTAGCCACTACTTATTAGTTTCAACACAGAGTAAAACAGTTTTCTCGCAGTTTATGTTAGAATAAAATAAATAGAAGGTTAAACTCCCTGCCAAACGTAATATAATAATAGACAAAGATAAATACTATCAGATGGCATTATAAAGTCCTTTTTATAACAAAAGTACTTTGTTATGAAAAGAAAAATGTGACAAGATGCCCCTCAAGATGCATAGCAGAAGAGTTAACTTTGTTTTTTGTAATCAACTGCATGCAAGTCAGTCATGTTGTTTTGTTGTTTTCTTGTGAAGTCCACATGTAAAGTTCTTTATTTCAATAAAAAGTAATATTTTCTACAATAGAAAATCATCATCAATTATGAACATCTCAAATTTGGAATAGAATGACACTACTGGCAGTAAAAATTTTGAATATTTAAACATTAAAAATTGCAACGGAATTCAAGGTTTGAGAGTATGAAAATAAACAAACATTTTAAACAAAAAAACACAACAGAAATAAGACTGATATTAAAGAAATGCAGGAAACCGACTTATCTTCTGGAAAAATGCTTGCATAAATTCATCTCCACCAAACTGGAAGATGGTATATTTGTGGCACATGACCCAAGAAATGTAGTTTAGGAGATACAAGACTTAGTGTTAATGGATGAAGAGGTTGGGATAATAATGGACTTTGAGAACTTATATCCTTTGATAAAAATAGAATCTTGTTTTCAAACACTAACAGAATTTATGCTCATCAAGAACCCTGAATTATTACATCCAAAATCTTTAAATTTCCGGTACAAAACAAATATAGTCACTGAACTAACGTTTTCGATCTTTAACCAAGATCTTCATCAGGTTCGTTGTCATTCTGAAAATAGAATGTTAAGAATATAGAACGTTTTTGAATCCTATTTTTCAAAAGAAAACATATTTCTTAAAGTTTCTTGGTGTGAGATTAGCCGAGGGTACTTTTCCCCTAGGAGTGTTAGTACCACTTAATCGGCGCTATTCTCTAGAATAGTTCTTGGAGTTTCAGATTGAAAGATCCGATCTATAAATCTTTTTCTAGGAGGGCTGTCAATATTTAAAACGATCTGGACTGTGAAGTCTAGATCTACATTAGGATTCCTTGACACCAGTTAATCAAATTTAGATACGCGGATTAACACACGTTTGGAGATAATATGGATTTGATTCGGTTAACAACTAAGAGACATTTCTTAAACATATAAATAAAAGAATTTAATAAACTAGCATAAACAAAGGTATACAAAATGATATAATCCAATAATTCAAACAAGCGATTGAGAGAGAATATGGATTCAATTAAAATATACACATTGAGAGAGAGAGCTCACAAATTCATTGATAATCATACTACCTCAAAGTTTACTTTGTCTTTATCTTCATCTGTATTCTATGATCATACTTCGTTTTATGGAGAGGTCCTGATTTGGCACAATATTAAAAGTTTCCTTTTTTTCTCCTAAATTAACTCATTATTATACTCGATTGGATACGACTAAGGCCGTTGGCCTTATGGAGCAAATATGGACTACATCTCTCCTCTATGAGATCTTCTGACGTACTCCTAAGAACATTGGCCTTAGAGAGCGAATATGGGATACCTCCTTTCCCTATGAGATCTCCTGATGTACTCCCCAAATCATGTAGATCTTTGACTATATCTCATGATTTGTGACCAATCAGCATATTTGTCCTCACTCACGTGAACGGATGAAAAGGGGAATCATTGAGGGGTCGACAATTCCCAGGGTGGAGAGATTTGTGATAGATAAGGGGAAAACAAAAGGATGTGTCTACTTCTGTTAAAGGAAGTGGCTCTTTTATCAGTTTTCCCATGTTAGAAAATGATAATTTCACACCAAAATGAAAGAATATTTTCTTTCATTATTTTAATTTTATATTTAAATTGTTAATTAGACCCAGGGGCTATTCGGATCTCACATTGGTGTTCTTGGCATTCTTCTGTCATCAGATCTGTTTCAGATTCCATTACGAGCTCTTCAATGTTCTTTATTTCTCAGATGTGATTTTTGTTACTCCTTCAGCTGCTTGAGTCTTCTTGATTACACAGTATCTTTCTTAGATAAGATTGAACTGTGGCCTACTGTAGACCTGTTCAAGCCATAGTGCCCAGCAACATCAGACATCTTCTGCCCACTCTCTACCTGTGCTATTATACTCTCACCTTTTGAAAATAAAAACAGATGCAAAACTTAACAAGTGCTCGCCCAACATCTTGCGAATACTATAAAAGAATTGTTTTCAGAAAAATAAAAAACTGGAATTACAAGGGAGAATTTCAAAGTTCGGAGGAATACTATCTGATCAGTATGTACTGGGTCGAGCATAGATGTCGACGTTTCCTGCGCTCCAAAAAGTTTCAAATTGTTGCCTGAAGACAAGAGAAGACCAATCGGTATTCATTATTTTATGTCGCTTCTTCTTGTGTTTGTTCTGTGAGGTGTTCGTTATCCAATTTGTTCATTAACCGATCAACCATTGTATTAGAACACATGCGCGTGTCATATCCCGAATCAAATACCTTTCAAATTGTGTTTGAATATTAATGGCCAGCTTGAATGGAATGAGGGTAGAAGCCTGAAGAAGAGTGCAGAAGGGGCTTTGAAAACATTTGCAGTTATTGAACATAAGCACTCCTATAAGGTTTAAGTAAGTCAATCTCATGTCATATATTCAACCCAATGTGTGGTGAAGTTAAGAATCCACCAAAAGACTACACAAAATGTGGAGATCTAACATATGACTTTCTATAGCATGTGCCAACCCAGGCCTGGCATATGTGGGAGCCATTGTGCAATCCTTAACTTACAATTAAAAAAGTATATTGTTAAGAAGTCACACCCCTCCACAACCCTGGCCACAACTTGGACAATTTGGTCAAGGTTCAATGGGAAAAAGATACAGTCACCAAGCATCAGAAAAAATCATCATCTATAACATGTGAAGGCCTCAAAATCTATAATTCATTGCCTGATGTAACTCCATTTTGCATTGATTTATAGATTTTGGATGATTTATAGATTATGTTCATGTACTCTCAACTGCATGGACATAAACACGATTTTGAATGCTTGGAAATCCTAATTTGAAGTCTACAAACTATAAAATGCATGCTTTTTGGTTACTATTTTTTCTTGTTATTTTTTTGTCTTTTAGTTTTTGCACATCACAGCACTGAACCAGCTGTAGAATTTTTTAATATTTAAACCATGTTTGCATTTGCATATTTTTATTCTATTTTTCATCATTATTTGAAAATGTTCAATTTTGGAACATCAACCTGATGGTCATTAAATGTGAATGAAAAGTTTTTTTCAGTTTAATAAACATTTTTTGCTGATGCAAAAGGTTGTTTGTAGATGATTGAGTGGGAAAAACTATAACAGATATTGAAAAACAGTTAACTACATAAGCAAGTTGAGAAAATTATCGTCTAGGCGTTAATAACCAACACCTATCGCTACAAACAACAAGCGCTTTCAATGAAACTATTTTCGTCTTCTTCAGGTTAAAAGAACAGTTAATATCCTTCAAATTCAAATTACAGCAACGGCAAACCAGCATTGGAATAAAATCGAAATAGAACTAAAACGGAGAATTTAAAAGATGCGCGCTCGGTGCCGACGCGCATGAGCAATAGATTATTTTGCGAGAATGCGGAGCTAGCGACGTTGTTTTAATCTGTTGACCCACAAGGAAGGCACATCCAGCGTGGGGGTGTTGCATGGATATTAACTGTTCTTTTAACCTGAAGAAGACGAAAATAGTTTCGTTGAAAGCGCTTGTTGTTTGTAGCAATAGATGTTGGTTATTAATGCCTAGACGATAATTTTCTCAACTTGCTTATCCAATATCCGGCGTGAAGTCCAATAATAATTTTTCACAGTTAACTACATGTTATTAACTCAAAAAGTTTTTTTTATAAACCTTTTGAATGTGATAGCCTGTTAGTAAATTTCCACATGTTCCTTTTGTTACTCTTATAATATTGAGTCTGTATTCAATTTCTTACTAAATGCTTTTTAACATCTCCTCTGGTACTGTGTTCACAGCAGGAACAATCCTGTTCAGTAATTCTTCTGCACTAGTTACGTTTTGGCGTAAACTTTGTCGTTTATGTAGACTCACAGAAAGAAATCAAAGAAATGATATCAGGGACTTCAGTGGTCATGACACTGATCTCTCTTGACTAATATGACAATTTAGGAAATTCTCATTAAGGAAACCTTGCATCCAGTGTGGGAACTTCCTGCCATGCTGGAAATAAACATTTGCCATATCAGTTGTGGAACAATGAAATTTTGAAGCATAACCAGATAGATGATAGATGTTTGAATTGATCATTGATTTGATGAAGGAAATGCTTGTAACAGTGCTGCCAAGTGTGAAAAAACTTTTTGATTTAACAATGTATAGTTAACTGTTTTACAACATCTGTTATAGTTTTTTCTCTATTGAGTTTCTTAATCAAGTAAATAAATATATTAAATTTTAGTGAATCATGCAATAAAGTCATAATAGTCAAGGTATTCCTGTTCAATAAACATTTTTTTAACTAAAATAACATAATAAAATAATGAAAAATTTTTACAATTTGAATCTTATATAAATAATATAATTATTCACATTACATTTTTTAAAATTAGCAAATATAAAATGATTTTCAAAAATCTTACTTAAAAACAGCAATCTTCCCATAGTTATTTCCTGCAGCCAAATATTTTCCACATGGTGAGAACTCTTGAGCAAATACAGTTGTATAATATTGCTTTAAAATATCCATTAACCTGATGTTTTTCTAAAATTTATTTAAAAATTAAAAATTATTAACTGTCATCAAAATAAACAATTATAAAGTATTTTTACTTCTAACAGTAACTGCTATTTTGAAGAGTAATGAATACAAAATGGATAACAACTGTTCTTTGCATACATCTATATTCCATGGCTACCTATCTCTTCAGAAGCCTTTATATTTAAAAATAAAACTGTCTTTATGCTCTGCTAAACTTTAACATTAATTTTAACAAGTCATCAAAAAAATGTTTGGATAAATTCCTTGGGCTTTCTCCTTAACAGATGACTTTCATAGAAGGGCTAATCACATTGATTACAACAAGCCCAAAGACCAAGTACTTCGAATGCTCGCAGCAATTAAAGGAAACTTGGAGACACTAAAAGAATTGATGGAAATTGTTTTGGGTCTCTTCGACCTATAGTCTGGTGGAAACACCGGGCAGGGTCCCCCTTATCTAAAGGAGGGAGACCTCGCTGACCGATAAAGTGTAAGCAATACTCTCAATGGTAGAGTATTACAGTACAGTACAAGTTCAAGTTCAAGTTCTTTATTGCCGTACAAAGGTACAAGCCCGGTACCGCATAAGCACAAACCGGTTTGAAAACGCATACAACAGTAAAGTTACAGGAATAGAGTACATAACATAGCATAACATTATATTCGATATAAATCAATTATATACAAGGTATGAAATAAAAGACGGGACTGTAGATACGGAGCACTATATACATAACATGATATACAAAGCAGTTTAATTACATACTAGAGATCGCGTAACAAATAAGAATGACTTTATATACAGGACATTGAATTGGAACACAATATACAAGACAAGTACATGTCAAAGGTCAAATACATAATGGAATTGCATAGCAATATGAATAAGTTATAAGTGGTGGTATTTATGTTGCTAGGAGGTGCTAGTTGAGACGTTGAGAGCTGCAAGTTTACAGTATTTGTTGACTAGCTGATTGAAGTAAACGTAAGTGGAATGTTCGTTGATCAACTCGTTGCAACTACAGGGCCAGTCCTTTCCCCGAGAGTTGATTATAATCTTTAAATGTTGCCGCTCAGCATCGAGCATTGGGCAGTTGAAAATATAATGAAGTGCTCCATCCTGAGTGCCACAGAGGGAGCATGTATTGTTCGAGTAGTTGGTAAATCTGTTAAGATAGCAGTGGAAATTACCATGGTTGGTAAAAAATTGCGATGTGGAATGGTTGAGTTTCAACCATTTATAGTTATAAATGTCTGAGATATGCGGGAAGAAGTTATTGGTAATTGATTGACGGTTGTTGTTCCAGTCATTCTGCCAGTTTTCGAGGAGATTGTTCCAAAGGATGTGCTTTAAGGTGGAATTGCTCATATTATTATAACTAGTGGTGAGAGTGAGGTCAGTGGCAGCCTCCTTTGCTAGTTCGTCTGCCCGCTCGTTACCAGGATTACCCTGATGTGCACGAGTCCAGTTCAAGAAATATTCATTGGTGGAATGACGAATAGTGCAATAAATATCAGTAACTAGGTGGTGCGGATGTTTGTGTACAGTACAGGCTGCACACAAAACTATGTCAAAGTAAAAGGGTTGGACTTGAGAGTGAGAAAGGCTGGTCCCCATCAGGTCGTACTGCAAGAGGCCGCACATATAACAGTCTGACTTTGTTGTTCAGTCACCTTAATACCACCAAAGATGACCAACTGCTAATGATTAAAATACAGTCTTAGTACTCTGTAGTGCCATTTGGCAGAGCAGAGGCAGTTGTAAAAATTGTGATACAGAAAATGATCTGCCATTGTTATTTTTAAGAAATTTCATATTTTGAAGCAGTAAAGGTCCCTTCTGAACTATGAGTTCTAATAACCAATTATTAATAATTAGTGGCCAATTAAAAGGATCCCCTATATCTACATCATTTCAATTCAACAAAATTATTATTTTCCAAATTATCCTCACCACAGCTTGATTCACACACTGATGTTTCTTGACACAATTACAAGCAAATTTCAGACTTGTCATTTGATTTTTCATCTTCCATTTCATCATTATTATCTGAAATGAATTCTAAAGTGGCTATTGATGATGTCGGGTCAGCATCACCCAACTTTACGAATTTCAGCATTAATCCTCGTAGTTTTCTGTTTTTCCTTATCATGTTCATTCTTCTGCTTGCAATAATATTCACCAGACTGACATTTTATTCTCCATTTGACACATCTAAACATATCTAGGCCTATAATAGTAATAATTCTTTACTTACATAAACTATATATACGTGTTTTCAAATATGTAAGGGGCTGTCCATAAATTATGTCCATATTTTTCTTGAAATCTTTACTTCCCCCCACTATCCCAGTTTGTACAAGTTTCTGTAACTCCCTCCCTCTTCAAACATCCAACAAATCTCAACCCTCCTCAAAATCTTTATGAATAATAAAATACATAAACTGTATAAAATGTAATGAAATAAAACACCTCCCTCCCTCCCAGATTGAATGGATAGCCCCTAAAAGTCTTGTAATAATCCAAACCTGACTAAAGCATGGGTACTGAAAGTTCATTTATACTAAATTAAAATAAATAAGCACAAAATATCTTATAAGCTGCAAAAATAATTTATTCTATTAACTTTATTAAAGTTGATATTAATAAATATTCTATTTTTTATTAGTGGTGGCTAGTTTTATCAAATCTCTTAAATATTGTATTTAATTCTTCAAAAAAGCCTTTTATGTATAGAAAGGATATAGAAGAAATCCTTATTAATTCAAACTTGGATAGTTTGAAATCCCATTAGTTCATAACTGTACTTTTATCCCACAGGGAATATAGAGGCTTACATGTTAAGGAATTTGGTTAGTTAGAAATATGGCTATTTTGTAATTTGAAATGAAAATTCTGTCCAAACTATCACATGCATATGTTAACTCCTTCATTTAGATGGAAGTGCCTCCATGTTATAAGAGAACAATAGGCCAAAAACAACTCTAATCTGGTCAATATGGCTTTGCTTTTATAACAACACATTTTCAAGTGTTACCTTACACATGGATTACCTTTTTTTCTCTTATCTCATAAAATATGCTAATTTTCAGGATTGAAAGATTGTGCTGCTAGTAGCAGATACAGATACTTGTATGGCTCTAAGCTACTACATTTGAATGACTTACTACTTTTAAGCCCTTTAAAAATAATTTTGACTACATTTCGTGGAATTCTGCTTTACTTTTTATAAAACCTATCTGACCTGTGAGGTTCTCACTAGACATGTGTAGTTTATCTTCATATTTACAGTAATACCTGTTTTTGTTGACTTTGATTATCGTTGATTTTTTTTGCGAAAAATTTGTCTGTTTTTGTTGGTTGCCTTGGATTTTGTTGGCATGCCCATGCAACCTCACTGCTAATTTTACAAAAAGAAAGGGCAACCCACATGTTTTCCTGTTCAGTGTGGCGCTGTTTCTCATTGTGTGAGAATTACCTCCCCTTGCATTTAGCCAAACTCCTCCTCTATGACAGCCAGATGGCCAAGCGGTCAAAGGTGGCAGTCTACTGCTCTGGGTGACCCGGGATCTAATGTGCATGGGTCGAAAAATCCCCAGGAATTTTTTGGGAGTGGTCCATCCGGATATGTCGGGCCCCGTCACTCACCACCCAGCTGCTGCCCCGTTGTAGGCCTGACAGAACCCGTAACGGGCTTGTTAAAAGAGGTCCTCTTAGTGCCCACAGGGTAGAGTTTAAAAAAAGTTCAAATAATTCCATTGTTTCCTTCCCTTTTAGCTTCATCATGGGACCAATGAAAGTTTCCACAGCCAGCAGCCATTTGAATGTCATGTTAAACGTTCATTTATTCTTTACATTAGTCTTTTATACTCATTTTATATTAATTTCTTATTGTTTTCAGTATTAAACACTCTACTTATTCTCTATAACATGTGTTTTTGGTATGAATTTTGGAGTGTCTAGAACGAATTAATTGAATTTGCATTGATTCATATGGAAATAATTGCCTCGGTTTTCGTCAGTTTCAGATTTCACCGATTGTTTTCGGAAGAATTATCAACAAAAACAGAGGTATCACTGTATTATTTTAATTAATTATCAAAAATAGGGTTCTGTATATGTAGCCATATTCCATTTTCTTAATAAATTACATCAATTATGTGGCATTCGGCATATTGTACAGAAATATGTAAATCTCGGATAATTTGAAACTGAATAATTCAAAGTCGCAATTATTTTCTCTCTTGAAATTAAAATAATAAGGATTTCCCGTATATTTTAACTGTATATTTTGTTTTTATTTTTATGCTGTATGAATTCTTTTTTCCATTTTGTCTTTAAAGGTTTTTGGGTAATTATTTATCATCATGTTTTCTTTTAATATTTTTATCTCTCTATTTTTATTTAATAAATTTCTTGTTCTAGTGTTTATATTTTTATATTCCGTATTACCCAACTTCACTGCCTGTAACCGGTGTTTTTCTTCTCCAACATAGAGGACTTTGCAAACGTTTTCGAACCTAATGTGGTTCTTCTTCAGGCACTATGGAATTCCCTATATGAATTCAAATTTCCAGAATTAACCGTTGTTTTGGAAAATTTTTTGAACGTTGTCACGTGTGACCGATGGCATCATTGTAGACTTGCGCATTATCCGTATGTTGTTACTTTAGATTTTTATTGCGGAAGGCTTCCCATGCTGTTGATATCTTCATTTCTTGTTTGAAGTTAATGCAGTGCTTATTCCTGAAGGTGTTAAGGCAAATGTATATGGCCTCTAGCCATCTGAGATGTTCTGTGTGGAACATGGTGTGAATAATTCTGGCTAGAGGGAATAGCTGTATAGTTTCCATATTACATATATTCAAATGAATGTTTCATCAAATCTTTTCTTTTCTCACACTATTTATTTTTTTTTATACATTTTAAAATTGTACACCTTTTACTCTAGTTATATCATTATCTATATTCTCCATTATAAGTTCAGCTAATTTTGGCACTATTACAGACCCCCATACTTATTCCTGATTTCTATGTAAAAAATTTGTCATCTAAGTTACATAAAAGTAACTACTTTTATAAGTAAATTCTATTAAAATCAATTATAAAATCTTTTATTTTTAAATTATTCTCTATCACGGCACGGATTTGGAAGACACGGTATCGACAAGACGGTGCCACCCGTCACACAACATGCAAAACAACCGAGTCGTCGCAGCAAAGTTTCGAGAGCAACTCGTCTCGGCAGTGCCGACCAAAATCGGTCACCAAGCTCGCGCGACTTCCGGATCGAAAGCAGGAATTTAAGGTTTTGATAAAATCGGGCCACAATTACGCAAAGACGTCACCGAAAATTTTGTCAAAAGAATACGAACGTGTGGCACGAGCGGCGGGGGGACATTTGTTGGATGTTGTAATCAATATTTAATTGCAATGTTAAACGATGTAACAATTTTGCCAATTAATGAATAAATAAAACAGTTTTTAAAATTAAATTCTGTTAATTTTGAGACAACCTATAGTTTAATAAAAAAATTTTTTCACAAATTATTTTTTGGACCACGCACTACCAAACACTAGCGGTCAATTGCAGGTTCGTGCCTCGCCAACAGGTCGGTGGCACAAAATTTTAAGTTTTCTTCACACGCACAATCCCTAAACGGAGGCCAATTTTCCCACAGAAAGCCCTCGAAAGGAAGCCAATCCCCTTCGGAAGATGGCCAAAACGTATTACAAGTACTTACGTTCGAGCGACGACTAATTTTAACATATTTTTTTACCATAAATTCTTTTGATTTCCAAACGAAAAAGACTAGCATTCGGTCGAGGTATACTCCGACGAGTTTCGGGGACAACTCGTCAAACGGTTCCACAAACCGACATCACCTAAGCTAGTATCCCGCATCCCCTATTTAATTTTACGGCGCGCTTTTAAACGAATAGATCGGCACAATCAAATTTCGAACCGTAAGATAAAATATATGTATTTGTATATATGTTAATTATTGTTTCTCGGGTTTCTTATAGAGAAGGATGTTTATTTCCGACGGACATTACCCGTACTCAATTCACTAAGCAAAACTGACAAACGAAGAACGAACGTAAGTCGAATAACCAGACAAAAATAAACCGAATGACATATCTCTTTTCCATATAAAGAACAAAGATCAAAATGTTCTCGTATCCTTCGTTTGTATTTACCTGAATCGACGTTTCGGCTTCCGTAAACCAATTTCTCTCTCGACAGAGGGCGCTGTTTTTGTCCGAGTTGCTCGGATTTAAATTATTCTTCTCGAGCCAAATAGAGTCCGAGTGCAAGTTACTCGCGCGCGCCCTGGTGGCAAATATTTACATAACACATAGGAGTTCTCTAAAGAATGCATATGCGTTGTATCTGAGACATTTCGAAATCGATACCTAGTACAGTAAATCGCTTATTGTTTTTTTAATTTGTATTTGAGTTATAATATTAAACACGGGTAAATCAAATGTAAATCGTTGTGTGTTTGGATGTTCTAATACACTAGCAAACACTCAATATGTAACGCCGAAAGTTTCATTTTATGGTTTTCAGGCACGTCCACACCTTAAGGCTTAAACAGAGGCGCCAAATTTGGATAAATTTTGCTAAAAGACAAAAATAACAAATACAAAATTTATTGTTAATTTTTAAAAAATTGACACGAATAATTTTCTAAAAATATCCTTGTAAATTTAGTATCCAAATCAAAAGCAGTTTAGTGGTAACGAGATGGACGAATTCATACAAAATTGCTCGTGTAAGAATTCACGTTGAGAGAGCCATTGGTAGAATTAAAATTTTTTAAATATTGAACTGTAGATTACCCATTTCACTTCTTCCATATGTAGATAAAATAATGTTTGTTTGTGTAGTATTAGTAAATCTGCAGCTACCAATTATAAATGAGTGAAATTTTTTAATTGTGAAAACACTATAAAAACTTGATACTGTTTACACTTAATACTTAAATACTATTTACAATTGAAGGTAAACAATAATTAAAGTAGAACATTTGCATCTTCTCTAATAGTGAATAAAAGAATGTCTCATTTTTTCCACTTCAAGGGTTCAAATGGAGAAGAAACCAAGGACTTTAAACTACAAGGATAGCCAGATCCCGTATATTTGTTTGCCCTATAATGGGCTTGGAGGATAGCCAAATCCTGTATCCCCTATAATGGGCTTGGAGGGCCTCCTAATGCCCACAGAGCAGAAAGAGTTAAGAAAAAAAACACCAAGGTGTGCGTTAGTAGAAAAGCGAGAAGAGGTACGAATAGTATTTTTTATAAATTAAACGAAAACCTTAATAAAAACATTATTAATGTTTGTTGTGCAGCGCACATAATACATAACGCTATTCAAACAGCTGCCCACTTGTTGCCCGTAGATGTCGAAAATATTACTATTAAAATATATTCATATTTCCATACATATACACTGGGCGCGTCGTTTGCCTTAAAGAATTTTGTGAAACTGCAAAAGTTGAATACTGTATCAGAAAATACTTGGGCGCTGGTTAGCTCTTTTGTCAGTTGTTGAACGAATTTTGAAAATATAAATGTTCTAGAATTTTACAAGTGATTTTTGAAAGAGAATCTTCAAAACTTTCGCTAGAGTTTTTATACAATCAAGCAGCTCTTTTTCAAAATGCTGTATAATTTATTGAAGGTGACAAAATTTGGGTAATCGAAGTAGCGAACCAAGTTAAAAATTTAAAATTTCAGTGTCAAGAGCGGTTAGAAAATAATTTTCTTCCCTTAGTATAAGTCAGTTAGAAGAACAAAGTGCAATAAATTGCGCAGATTTCACAAAAAATTCTATAGTAACTGCTTAGATTATTTAGAAGAGTGGACGGTACATTACAATGATATTGAACATTTTCATTGGGTTATATTAAAACAAGAACCTAATTGGGAAGATGAACAATAATCATTCGATTACATTAGTCAACATTTTCCAGACATTAAAAAGATCATTTTCGGAATTATTACAGAGTAATCCTTATTAAAAAATTATATTGATAAGGGAAAGGTTAAATCTTGGAAATGGGCAAAAATCTCAACAAACAAATGGTTAGAAATATTTCATTTTGAAACAAATTACAGTATGTTCCATACAATAATGCAATGTTTTTCAACCTGTGGGTCGCGGGTGAAAGAAAAAGACACGTGTTTGTAGGTCCTACACTACAATAAAAACAACTAGAACTTCAGTGAGAAGGCTGTGCCTGTTTATTTTACAGTACAATTGGTTTTTCGATTGATATTTAAAGAAAACTAGAATTTCAGTGAGAAGCCTGTGCCTGTTTATTTTACAGTACAATTGGTTTTTCGATTGATATTTAAGGAAAGAAAATTAAATGCGTAGTTTTTAAAATCACTGATATAGTTTTAATATGCCCTGGGGGGTCGCCAGAATTTTTTAACTTTTAAAGAAGGCGCGTTCAAGAAGGTTGAAAAAACACTGCAATAATGCATTAAAAATTGAGGAATACGCGCTGTCCTCCCCAGTAACTAATGCCGCGACTGAACACGTTTTTCCTACAGTAAATAAAGTGTGGACATCTGATAAATCACAATTAAATGTTGAGACTTTGAAAATCATATTATGTGTGAAATATAATTTAACAAGTACTTGCGAAAAATTTCATGACATTTTAAACAACGACAACAATCTACTAAAAGAAACTTAATTCAACTGAGAAATATGCGAAAGAACAGCATTTTTTTAAAGATTTATAATCTATACTAATACTAGCTGCAAGTACCCGCTTCGCTAGGTTTTTATTTGTTCGTACATTTATATATAATATAGTTTTATATATATATAAGACTGTTTCTCTTCCACTACGTAATCTTTGTTTGATTCGATGTGTTTTCCTATAATTTTCAAGTTGCTCTTCTGTCTGATTATTTCTGTTTCGTTGATATTTTTCTCGTAGCAATGTTATATGTACTGTACTTTCTTCCGCGGTTTCATTTCTCCGCGCCATCTTTTGCCTTAGATATGATTCGAGACCGCAAAAATTCTTTCTTATTCTTTGGCATTGTTTTGTATATTTTTACTTTTCACACTTCACTATTCACTTTTCACTTTCTACTTTTATCTGTTATTCGTACACTTTTACTTATGAAAAATCAGCTGAGGAATGTGCGTCACACGTCTCCAAACCCATCCTCACCTACAGTACTCACACATAACGGTCCTCGACTATTCCAAAACATTTAAGATTAAGATTACATTATAGCAAATCTTACCCGTTTTCACAGAATGCAAGAATTAGGTGCCCCGTTTCCAGACTAATTAGAGAATTTTTACATGAGTCTAAGAATATGTTCGATTTCCCGCAAAAACGCAAAAAACCGCATCTGCGCCTGTAAATCTTGCACGTCGCTTTCTCTTAACACTTCAATTGTTACTTAACCACTTGAATCGTTAACACTTCCCTTGCGGGGAAGTGTTAACAACCTCTCCCCGCGGGGGAAATTTCGAAAAATCCCTTCTTAGTGTACGTTCTCATGCACCATAACTGTGTACCAAATTTCAACCTTCAACTCCTAAGACTTACTGTAAAGAACTCTGCTTCTATTTATACTATTATAGATGCGGTTTTTTTGCGTTTTTGATTGCGTTTTAATAGGGTACGTCAAAAGAATGTACACCAAGAAGAGATTTTTCGAAAAATTTATACATTTATAATAGATACATTTTGAGCCACAACAACGCGTTGCGGGGTCTGCTAGTATTAAATAAAATCAGTAGGTATTTGGCAAACAGTCTCCAATTTTAACAGTTTTCTTTCGGTTACATATGATGGAAACCAATTGTACAGTACATAATACCGCATGCAATATACCGATTTTCTATAATTTAAATTATTCAAATATATTAAGCCTTTACCGATAACAATGACCGATAATATATTATACTTTAAAGTGTAATATATCTTATACATAATCCTACAGATAACATAACTATACATGTCGTACAAGTTAATGACCAATCTTAAAAGATAAATCTATTAAATAGGACAATATTCCTCAATATGATTTATAATTTTGCTGTCATTCAATCTTAACCGCTAACAAACGATTCGTAATTCATTAATTACACCGAAAAGTTCTTCGTAAGTAACGTCTAATATAAGGTGACCAGATTTTAACATTGATGAAGCGGGACAAAATTGACGGTGGGGAAGTGGTTGTCTTCTAAAAATTCTTCTAGAGCAACAAAATTTTATCATCAAAGAACGCAAAAATTGTCTCTATTAGGGGAAGGGAGGGCAAGATGGAAGGGGTGGACAAGATGGAAACTACCCACCCATCCCGAACCACGTGACGAAGCACCCGAATCTCCATGTACACAGAGACACCCGGATATCTTGTATTTACGAACGGCGACTCAGACCGGTTGATGCCACCAAGTGACGTGTGCAAGTATTTCATATTTCGCAGCAGATTATTACGCAGTCATTGGACTTTTGCAGTGTTATTATTTATATCTAGAAGGTAAGTATTACTATTTTGTTTTTATACAAAGTACCTATTAGGGATAGATTAAATGAATTGATATTTAAAGAGGAAAAAAATTCAAGGATTTTTAAAGCGTTGATATTATTATTGGCAATGGGCATTTGGGCAAGATGGAAAATTGCATTTTAGGGCAAGATGGAATAGTTTTTATGTTTCCCGCACGCAATTATTTTGATTTCTGTTTTCAATTTATCTAACTAATTGAGAATGTAATTATTTTTAGATGGTGAACAAGTATATAAGAAAAGAGCAACACTCTTTTTGGACTGAAGAAACTGCAGATGGCGATGGATGAAGATTTTGTATATTATGTGGAAAACCATATGTGGAACCGCTCACAGAGGACTTGGTACAGTGTCCAGTGTGTTGTGGTTGGGCACATGAACTATATACAAACACAAAAAATGGATGTTTTACATGAATCAACTGTAAAATGTAGGGATATCTTATGTATTCCATCTTGCCTTCAGAGTGAGGGCAAGATGGAATTTTTGACGTTTTTACTTCATGATTCCTAACAGATTTTATACTTAATATTAATTATTTTTAATTACACAATTTTTTAACCATCTAAGATCTCTGTCGAGTCTGATTAAAAGAAAAAATCTATATTATGTTATTTTATGTTTTTTTACATCACAAAGTTAAACCTTCCATCCTGCCCTCCCTTCCCCTATAAATGTATAGCTATTCCCCGTGGGGGATTTTTCGAAAAATTTCTTCTTAGTGTACATTCTCTCGACGTATTAAAACGCAATC